GGTTAAGTCTACTTGAAGAAGGCGACACGAACGCGGAGACAAAAGCTTTATTAGCCTGACGTTTCGGATTCCTGCTCGAATCCATCATCAGAGACAAAAGCAGATACGGGTAGCTCATGCACAAGGGGCTTCAGTATTTATAGGATGCAGTCGCCATGCTACCGCATACCTATGAATATTCACGGCTCCCCCCCCCCTCCCCCCCCCCTTCATCAGGGATCGTTGCACTTGGTGTGCTGACTGTTTGATGGCCGACATTCGCGTCGTTAATCGCTGCAATTTCGTCTCGTGCGTTGGGTGTAGGTGTGATGATTGCTCGACCATCTGATCAACCGACCTCGGCGTTGGGAAAAGTGTTCACCTGTACGCTCCCCACGTAGGTAATTACTTCGCCCAGACGAAGTCTCAGCACCGAGTATGAAAGGGGCAGTTCATTGCACCATAATTCAAGTGGCTCCCGGCTCACGCGGTTGTCATCTCTTGAGAGAATTTTGGCCTCGTTGGATTTTAATGTGTGGCCAGATCTCGTCGAATGAGCCGCAACTTGAGAGCTGGCGTCATTGCTGCGCACCGCTGCAGCGTGTTCGGCCATTCTCATTCGGAGCTGTCTTCCAGTTTCTCCGACGTAGTTGCTTTGTCCTCAACTGCAGCAGATCCGATAAACGACTCTAAACGTTTCCTCCCGTGGCAGCGGGTCTTTCGGTTGCATTACCTGACGCCTGATGGTTGCCTCCAGTTTGTGTGCAACTCCAACCCCAAGTGGTGCGAGAAGATGGCCAACAGCTTCCGAAACGTTCTTGGCATACGGAAGCGCTTGCCAAAATTTGGTGTCCATTTGGTTAGGCCTTTCGTCCCTTTTATGTATGCTTCGGTTGAAGAAGTTGCGCGGGTAGTCATTGGCTTTGAAGACCCATCGTTGTATTTAATTGCCAAACTGCAATACCCCGAACGGGTCCAGGGACTCGTCTCTTTGTTTCTATTAGATTAAGTTAACTTTCTCGGTGTTCACACTTTTTTGTGTCAAAGGCGGGTGGACAGACCGTAGTAGGCCTTAACAACCGACAGAATGAGCCCGGGTGTCAGTGTTTAGGGACGTTAGACTTCTAGTCTACAGGTCGCAGGATCGAGCCCCAGGTGTTCCACACTTCGGGATTGGGTATGACTGGCTGACGGCGACTAATAAGCTAGAAATGGCCATCGTAGTCTCCCCTGTCTTTGTCGCTGGAACTTGAAGTGTCTCGGCGACACTCAGTGGATGACTCGGAATGCCTGTTTGACGTCTACACAGTGGTCGCTGTTAATCAAGTGAGCCACAATTGCGCTGGACGTAGACTTTTCCGCACCTTGATTTAGCCAGACAGGATGGTACTCTCACATCCGCTTGGATAGGCGCCTAGTTGTTCGACCACAGGTGCAAATGAAGGCGTGTGTGCACATTGAAGAGGTCTGAAAGGACAGTCTTTACTTGCCTTCATGGGGAAGGAGCGGAGTGCTTGTGAAAACTAGTCTTTCGTTAGTGGCTGGATACATGCGCGTGAGAGCAGCGTTTAGGCGACGATGTGGAAGTTCGCTCGCCAGATCCCCTCAAAATAGCAATGCGAGAAAAAATCCCTTCTTCTTAGCCGTCGATACATCAGATTTTGCAGGGCGTTCTTCCATGTATTTGTTGACATACTTTTCCGGATAGCCGTTTTCCCTGAGAGTGTTTCGTATAATGGCGAGTCATCTATAAAGTGCCGGTGAGACACTCCAAGTTCCTGCGTCAGCGAATACTTGCGACGGCAGAGGCAATGGCCATACGGTTAGCCAACCCAGCCTTGTGCTCGCATAAGGCGTTTGTACAAGCTCTATGGCTCCTCTGGGCAGACAAACTCAGCGATGAAACAGGGACAGCAAATCGTTAGACACCAGGCATGATGATGATGAATAATGGAATGCGTACGTTTGCCGGGCTTAACTTCTTAGATATCTACATGGGTATCATCGGCAAAAAAATTTCAACTTATATAAGGGACGCCAATTTCGGCTGTGTGTTTGAGGAACATTGTCGCCAGCAGCCAAATGAGCGCTTCAATGTACTCGTAACGCTTTTTGCATGATTGAATATCACTTTATGACAATTTTTACTAATGTGAAATCCCCCTCATCCTACAACTTATGATATATATGAGTTAATCCCTTGCTTTTCGCAAATTTTCAAGTTATGGGTCAGTTGAAAAATTATTCGTTAGGCAGACATACATAAACACTTTCAGAATACTCAAAATTTGACAGACTATGAGGAAACGGTCAAAAGAAAACGATGGATACCGGCGTGTGGGACTGAAAATTCTGTGCTGCATCGATTACAAGTCAAGCTTGGACAACATTACTCTGGATCGATTTCGAGTTCAATTTTCGCAATTCGGATCGATACAAACCACCAAACCGACGTTAAAGAAGCCTTTAAAGTTATCTACTTGGCACCGACACACTACTCTAAGGGGCTGCGCAAACGGGTGCTAACCACAGCCGAAGCAGTGGACATTCGACTAGCGAGCCCAGCACCCTGTTCTCAGAAGACGCTGACACAGGCAGTCTTTCTGCTCTGGCCGACTCCAGGCGGTGATCGCACGCTGTCCCGACGCACTGAGAGCAGTCACACGCACTTACAGCGCTTACAATCTAACCGGAACCCCTCTCCTTACCCCCTCCCACCCCAAATCCACCGTCCTCAACACGCCGACTCCGTCATGTGGGCGGCGTAGGAACATGGAGTCAGGTTAACCCTGCCCCTGAGACGCATTTATATCCTATCCACAATTGGTATGATCATTACCCATCTGATGTAACAGAATATGCTCGAGTCCGACCTTGACCACAGGCAAACGTGCCGACGCGAGATGGGGGAGCCGAGACATCACTCGACAACCAAAAGCTTGAAGGCGGTGAATTGTGTTGTGTCGGGTTGGGTGGGGGGTGTCCGGGTGTTGAAAGTGGAACGTAAGAGTTCGCGGAAGTTGGAGAGGACATGTCAAAATAGATACGTCGGACAGGGCACCATGACGACAAACTGATGCCACACCTCAGAGGACTGATGGTCTCGGATGTAGGTGGTAGTAGGTCTGGGACAACCAATAATGGCTCAAAAGCGACTAGATTGTCTGTGCTAAAGATGAGAGAGGTGTAATCCACCACAAAAATCCACAGGAAACGATTTTGCAGTCCGTTATTCAGATCAAGCGAGCGCTACTCATCGATGGTGGTGGATGTGGGGTTGTGGGCAGGAGCGAGTCACGACAGGGACATCGATGGTCCAGGGGCTTTAAGTGGGTGGAATTCAGCTGGGTGCCAGAGCCAACCAGAAAACACCAGACACACCTGTCACCACAAGCACAGAAGATGTGTCATTGCCAGAACTATGGGTGAGGTTGGCATTCCAGACGGTCAGCTTATTTGAAAAGCCCTCATTGAGGTCATTAATGCAGCGCTAAACGCAGTTACCCGGCCTCCGGTCCCCAACAAACCGTGATGGGGAGAGGTGAAAGAGCCATTAGGGCTTGTCCATCCGTTCTGAATAGAAACTAGTAACCCAGTCATTTGGCAACGTCCAAAACAACAATTGTTAACGCGTCACGGCGATTCCAAAGCACCTTTTTGTATAAAGTTATGCAGCCAAGTAGATTATCCGAGCTGGTTGAATTTCATTCTGGCTTCCCTTGCACATTTTCGGGTGGTCGTCCGAGACTAACCGCCTTGGAACCAGACCGGGCATTGGCTGCTGAGACAGGGAGCCAGTGTCAAAGGCGTGCCTCACTTGGGCTCGAAAATCACAAAAACAATGGGCGCTATAGAAGCCACAGTAATAATAAGCCATTGCAGCCTAAAATCTCATTCCAAAGTTATCCTGTCAGTTGGGTGTAGTGCGACAAACTTGCGCAGCATTTACGACACTCTCTCCTTACTTATCTGCCTATCTGGCTAGAAGACAATGTCAACTCTACCAGAGTTGGGCGCGGACGCGGTGATAGATAGGGTTAGACAGCCCACCTCTGCGTGTCGCACAAGAGAGGAAAAGGTGCAACCAGACCGAACAAGCCCCGCAGAGGCCCAGGGCCCTTTCCCCTTTTAAAGATAACCGTTGTAGCTGTTTTAACTTTTGTTAACAAACACTGTCACACCTGTCTCCAGAGCTCCTGAATTTTGGGTGTGAATACCAGCACGAATTAATTAGTCCCAAAATTAGGCAGTCAGGAGGTATCAGGGTCTGTCAATTGGGGAGGAACGATAAAACGGAAAGTAATTCCTTTCTTGGTTTAGTGTAGACAGTAGCCAGTAATAACCTAATACACGATGCGTAAAGGGGCATTTTTGCTTCTTAACAGAAGCGTCTCCTCTCATTGATTAAATAAAGGCAGAACCTACTTGATTGTGATAGAGCGAGGCCACTGATAACAGCAGTCTCCTTCAAAATAATAGCAAAAGGTTACGCGACAAAATAATTCAATGACCCTCTTTTACCGGGTAGCTGGCATCTTGATTTTCATCTGTACATATAAATCACCGTGAAAGGCCTGCAGATTGATCTAAGTACTGCAGCGGCACAAGAGAAACAGGTTTTGCGTTTGTCTGCCAAAGTTCTCTGACAGATCTTTAGCGAAAAGTGTCTCCTCAACGAAGACTAAGATATCTTTCTTGATGAGGTGCGAGTCGAGACTTAAAGAGTTGAACAGGTCTACCACTTTATTATGAAACTTGTTTTATAAAATATGTACATGTGTATGTGCATATGGGAGTTAAAAAATAAACTCTTGTCAGCTTAGTAAACTTGAGCATTCACCGGCGGCGGATAACCGCGAATGTCCAGTTCAAGTGCAGAACTTTTAACTGGACTGGGAAGGGAGTCCCACGATGTAAACGGAAATCAATAAACATACAGGCCTCTTTTTGCCCCTTTGTTTGCGGTTTCAGTCAGCTCCGAGTGCGTACTTTGCTCTAGTAACCAGGCCGACTCAGGTCTTTTAGGAGAAAAGGTAGATACAGGCGCCTAGAGCAGACCCAAAGAGGGCAATGGAGAAGAAAATGATTAGGCTCAGACAGATGTACTGTTTCCGGCGAAGTCGTTTGCTCGACAGGGTCTCATGGTCTTCCTGGTCCTTGACCTCAAAATCCGCCTCTATCCTCAGACCTGAGGCGCTGCCGGCAGTGGCCCCCAGGACACGTCCGCTTGTTACGCTCTCCACTCTGTGCATAGTTCGGTTACATTGAGAACGTCTCCGTCCGCTGTTGTCAAGGGCTTCGGAATGGGCTCGGACGTCGCGCATCGCATATGAGTCCCAGATCTTCTGGATGCCTCGACGCATAAAGAAATCACTGTTCTCCTGGAGCCAGCCGTCCTCGCAGTCCTCCTCGTCCTCGTCGTAGTCCTCATCTGCAGGGCCCTCGGAGTCACTCGGCCTACCTTCAGCGCACACCTCAGTATCTGCCGTGCACTCAGGACTGGGGATGGGGCTGGAGGTGCAACCAGCAAGACTGCCCACTCGCTGCTGATTGGCACGTCTGCGTCGCTTTCTCTGACTGGGTAGAATGGCCCAGGGATTCATCGGCACGGAGGCGTAGATCTCCATGATGAGCTCTCTGATTGTTTGTGTATCCTTCGCCAGCTTTTCGAAACACTCTAAGTCCGTCTCAGCTACCTTCTTACTGTCTGTGCGCAAAGAGACAGTAGGCTGAGAACTCTTGCACTGAGATTCTTCGATGGCCACTTTTTGGCTAGCTTTTGGGGATAACTTTGACGCAGTGACTTCTGGGTCCTCGGGAAAAGCCCTGAAGGGTGATTTGACGGGTGCAGTGGTAGGGACTTGGTGGGAGGGGAGCTGCCCAAGAAGCGAGGTAAACGGGCGCTTTTTTTCCGAGTGCGGTGTGAAGTTGGAGGAGGGGTCAGTTGAGGGGCCAGGGGTTTCGTGAGAACACAAGGACAGCTCCAGGCGACTTGCTCCGGAATCAAGATTGGGCGACTGTTCGAAGGTGGTCTTTGAGTGTTGTTCCAATTCCATCCCAAAGAGAGACTCATTTATCATCTGCGATTTGACAGCTTTATTCCGTTTTGCAAGGAGTTGGGAGCGTTTCCTTTTTGGCCGTTCCACCTCCATAAGGCCGGAGTATATGAAGTTGGCTGGGGGAGACATAAGGGAACTGGTTAGAGAACTGCCCATGTTGAGAGAGAAGTCCTGAAAAAGTTGTGCAGTGCGTATAAGCTGTTCGATGAAGAACTCCAAGCCAGCACAATGGAGATAAAAGAGTTGAATATAGGCCCCATTATTCGTTCTTTTTCCCCCATGCCATTTACTCTTAATATCCGGAAGCGTGAGCAAGGGGGTACTGGCCAAACGTTGATTTGCGTCCGACACTGGTTCAGCCACCATGATCGGCAAAAGACTGCTTTGGCACTTCTGAGCGATGCTCACGCTGCGTCGACGTACAACCTCCGACTTTGCTCTGAGCTTTCGGCAGTCGCACCGAGTCCCCAAGCGAGCCACTAGCATGGCGTAAAGGGCCACATAATGCGAGAAGGAGAGTAACCACCCGTTTACGAGATCGGCCGGGACCGGAGATGATTTATCGCAGGAAGGTCTCCGATGGCCGCTGGAACTGGGAACAGCGATCCCCACTCGGCTCCTGTCGCCAGACTCCGCACCGCTCGCTCCACATTCGACCTCCATGATGAGGCGTGACTAGGTAGTTCGTTTTGAAGTGGACTGATATTGCCCCTCTTGTGTTCGCTTGTCTCAAGAGTGCCTTTTTCTGCCTCCGTCTACAATCATCGTTTGAGTTTCATTTCTCATCAGATTTCAGTTGTGCGGAGTCATTATCCAGCATCTAGTAGGTCCTGCTGTTTTGTACGCGCGTTCGGTCGTCCAAACTAACTCTGGTGGCTTATTGAATGTTTGTGTGTTTGTGTGGGAGAGGACATCAGCAAGTGGCGCGGTGGGCGGGAGCGTGCACTAACACACTGTAGGAAACATATCCCCATGGACAAATTAAAAACCACCAATCAGCCGTCGCGCAAGCTTACGCACGCCTGTCTGTTTGCCTCGTAAGAGGCTTGAAACGGGTGCATGTGCGTGTGTCCTCCCACACACACACGCTCGCTGGAAATTTCGTGCCACTCGTATCATCCGCCTGAGGCTACGCGACTCCTTGTGTGTCATTGTTAAGCGGCGCTACCCAGCATGCTGATGGCCGTCCGGCAAGTTCGCGGACTGACA